GGTTGCTACCCCATAATTGCCAGTGACTTCTATATCACTGACAATATATTTATGCATGAAAAGTTACTGATATCATAGCGGGCTGTGGCCGAATTTTTTACTGTTGCCACCTTAATTTCGTTTAGGCTATTGCAGTATCAATGCTTGTGGGATTTTTCTAATGTTATAATATTCATCATTCTGGCTGTGGGCACTGGTGTGCCTGGGGGCACTTCCTATATCCTTCTTTCTCTCTCCCTCCCCCACTCACTCCAGTGAAGACGTCCTTGGGAAACATACTTGCTTGGACATCCTCTTCTATTCTGCAATTTTGCAAGCTCCTGTTGTGTTGATTGCAACAAGAAAGACCTAGAGCTATCATTCAACTCCCCCCTCCGTGGTTGTTTGCATATATATTAAGCAGAAACTTGCAAATATAGCCTTCAGCAACTACTGGCGTTTTAAGTAGTGAATTCTCCTAAGAAAATATAAAATAACCTTAATACGTGAAATACAGACATAACTTACAGACGAATAAACTTTCTACAATTCTTTTGATAGCCCTTACAAAGAATTTGGTCTTAAGCTATCAGACTAATCAAGTGATTGGTTTTTACCGAATGAACTAGCTAAATTGTAATATCTAGCGATATGAAAAAGGCATTAGTGTAAATACGAAAAATGAGATGAGGTTAGATGACAAACTGAAACACGGAGACAAAAACTTTTAGGATGAAAACATATATTCACAGTTGGACACCTGAAGGCATAACCGAAGTTTACAGTTCTTGTGGAAAAAGACACTTACACTTCAGGACATTTATTAAACACAACGTTTCGCTACTAGTGGCGAAACATTTTCCTCTAATACATGTCCTGAACTGTACATAAGTGTGTTTTCCATATCTTATCGGTATCATTTTTCAGTTTACTGTTCTTACCAGGCGGTGCCCCTCTTTATTTCCTTCCTGCTGCTGGAGTGGGCAGTGACCTGGCTTCGTGGTGAGAACAAGGTCAGGCCCAATGACCTCATGACCTCTGTCATGCACGGCATCGTCTACGATGTTGTAGGGTAAGTTTTCAGAGCTGTGAAGTATATCAGTGCCATGGGTATTACTAGTAGTGCCAGGGAAAAAAGTCACAGGAAAAAAGTCACGGAAAATAAAGTCACAATTTTGCCTAGGAAAAAGTCACTGGAAAAAAGGTCACATTTGATTTAGGTTAGGTTAGGTTAGGTTTAAGTTAGATCCTGGTTAGGTTAGGTTAGGTTAGGTTAGGTTTAAGTTAGGTCCTGGTTACATTACTAGTTTTAGTGCCATGAATCTCTTTCTGTTCTCCAAGTCGTGCCAACATTGAGAGCTATTTTACCCAGGATCCCCAGATTGGGCGAGACTTATGGGCGAGATGTATGGGCGAGCCTCTTTACACCTGCTACTCCCAGTTTACGTAACAGTAAATATATACCCCATTTTTCTTCTTAACTTGTTATGGGCAATATACCGTAGGTAAGGCCGGGTTTTACATTGAGACGAAGTAGAGTATAATCTTCAAGGCTGTATTTTCAAGGGAGGTGGGGCCTTGATGTTGATAAAGGGTTCTTGATACGACAAATTGTAGCCAATGTCACCTTACTTGGATCAGACTCAATTACCTCTTCTCCAGGTGCTATATGACCCCAACAGGAGAGAGAAATGGCATAAAAAGCCGACACGATAAAAAACAAATACTGTACAATATATTGTAAGTCTTTATTGGATAGAGTAGTTTGTGGCCCTATAAAGCCATGTGGGCGAAACGTCGCAAATAAAAACTCGTGTTATATTGCATCTGTGTCGTTTTTTATGACTAAAACAAGTTTAGCGTAAACTAAACTAAAAAAAATAACTGAGTGATTTGTTTCAGATTGGTGGTATTGCGAGGCGCCGCCCTGTATGGGCACGAGTGGCTGTACAAGCGACGCTTCATTAACCTAGACTGGTCCTCGCCTATCACCTGGTGGGTGGCAGCCGTGGGTGTCGACTTCGCGTATTACTGGTTCCACAGAGCCACCCACGGTGTGTATTATAATAATAATAATATTAATAATAATAATAAATATAATAAAATAATAATAATAATGTTTTTATTTCTACAAGTACATGTACAAAATATACAGTTCTAGCTGACATCAATGGCATACTACTAAATAGAAAGCCCCTTGTTATGCAGAGCATTTCGGGCAAGTTAGGTCAGTTTTGTCCCAGGATGCAACCCACACCAGTCGACTAATACCCGGGTACCCATTATCATTGATGGGTGAACAAGACACTGGTGTAAGGAAGCACACCCAATGTTTCTATCCTCACAGGGAATCGGACCCTGACCCTCTCCATGTGAGGCGAGAGCTTTTGCCACCAGGCCACGGGCCACCATATCTAAGTATCTTTATGTGGGTTTATTTTGTGAAGTGTTCCAGCCACGGTATTATGACTTGGATTCTGCTCTGTGGTACAATACGCATTTACGCATGTGGTGTGTATGTGGGCGCCCCATGACACACTCACCCACTCATGGTGTGTATCTTAACGCTTTGTGTTACAAACTAATCCACATGTAATATATATCATACTATTAGCAATAATGAGAGGTACATGACAAGTTTTCTCTCCTAAATGCTGACTATTTGTGATTTGTTTCAGTCACTGTACTGTGACTTATTATTGTCTATATTAGTGTATATTCGAGTCCTATTGCAGATGTTCTGTAGCTCGGTTGGTAGCCCACTCAGCTCACCCAGTGAGGTCCGTGGTTCGATCCCCGGTCCTGGTGAAAACATTGGGCGTATTCCCTTAAGACACTTACTGTCCCTTGTCACCTAGCAGTAAGTTGGTACCTGGGTGTTAGCTGACTTGCGTGTGTCCCATCCAGGGGACAAAATTAACCTAAGTTTCCCGAAATGCTCTATATGTCCAGGGGCTTTCTATATACAATATCAGCTAGATCTGTGCAAGTTGTATTATGTACTGTACAAAGTAAGATTGTTATTATTCTTCGCAGAGATCAACTTGGTATGGGCCAGCCATCAGGTCCACCACTCCTCCGAGTATTACAACTTATCCACAGCTCTGCGTCAGTCCCTGTGTCAACGATACTTCTCCTGGGGTTTCTACCAGCCTCTGGCCCTGCTGGGTGTGCCGCTGCCAGCGGTGCTGGTACATCTGCAGTTCAACTTACTCTATCAGTTTTGGATCCACACAGAGATAGTGAGGAACTGTGGGCCGCTGGAGTGGGTCCTCAACACGCCGTCCCACCATCGCGTACACCATGGTCACTAATTTGTTTCTTATTGTATTTCTTCTTTCATATATTTTTTAATTAATATTCTTATATTTATTATATTTTTTAATTTTTATATCTCATATTTGAAATTTTAATTCAAGTATTTCTTAAAATATTTCCTATTTCTTGTATATTTATTATTAATATGTTTTATTATATTTTTTTTCTTATAGTTCTTAATATATTTTTACTTAATATGTGCCTTTTTTATTACATATATTTCTTACATGTTATATATATTTTTACTGTCTGCATTTCTTATTAGATTTTGTATTGTTTTCTTGTACTGTTTTATATTTTTTTTTCATTTTCGGATTATGTTTTTTTTCCTCTCCAGTGTTAGTGTGTGAATGACGTACATATTTCTTTGTCAGAGGAGCTGAAGAACACAGTGGTTGAGCCTTTGGCTTCCAACAGAATCAATCATATTTTCTATCGTTTAACTGGGATATTCACCTTAGAAGTGATTCCCAGACGCCTGTGACCCCAGGCAAGGATAAATAGCCATTCAAGTTAGTTAATTAAACAGAAGATTCTTTGATTAATTTTGAAAGTATGGAGACTTATTGGCAGCTCTCCTTTCACCTGCTGTCCACGACAGTAGTTTATCAGCCAGGAAAATTCGCTGACATGAGTCTTTGTTAAATGGTGACATGTTAATTGGTGGTTTACATGTGGCGGGGGCGCCGTAAGACGGTGTGTCTTGTAGCCATGTGAAAGAAAGGTAAATAATGGTCCTTACGGTGGATCACTGCTTACCGATGTTTGTCTCTGGTTAAAGGTCCTGTCCATGTTCACTGAGGAGTAAATAGGTACCTACAGTAGGTGTTAGCCGACTGTTGCTCGTCGCAGACTGAGGAAGACGTGGGAGTGATAACATACTTCGGATAGCGCTCGGCTCTGAAACGAGCTGAGGTATGCCAACAACTCTTAGACCGTAACTTCAATGAGGTAAGAAACTAGTTTTGTAAATCCAATAGCTCACTTTTCCCTCAGGGTCAAATAAGTGGTGTTTGGACAAGAACTATGGTGGTGTGCTCATCATATGGGACCGCTTGTTCGGTACCTTCCAGGCTGAGAAAAAGAATGAGATGATTGCTTATGGTTTGGTGGACCAACCTCAGTCCTTCAACGTCATTTGGTTACAGGTAAGTACCCTTCAAGGGTTAATGCCTTGGTATTGATGAGGGAGACCTTGATCCAAACAATAAGAGCTACCCTCAATTTCTTTTGATCAACTCTAATTACCTCCTAACCTCTCTGAGCCTCGTTTGTGTCTGGAAACTTCTGTCTGTGTCCTTGTTACATTGTTTTTCCCTTTTACTTTGATGGTACGGTTCTCACTATATGCTCTAGTGTAGGGGTAGCTTAAATAAGGCCTTATAGTCTAGGGTAACACTTACATTCATGATTGGTCGTCCTCAGTCTCTGAAATCTTTTCACCAACCCTCTCAACAGGTTATTTAAACTACCTTTACAAAAAATCGGGATATATTCTTGACAGATATATATACAGAATATACAAGTTTAGCATCTTCTTATTCATAACAAGCATGCACACCCTTAGCTGTTCCAGCAGTGCAGTCATATGGTCCAACTGCGACATAGTACTCCTTTCCTTTTGATAACCTTAACCCAGTATTTTGGCACACTGTAGCCACCCTGGGTATAGTGATTACATCATATTCAAGTATAAATCTTACCTCTGGGGCACTCACATCCTGCCCAGACAGAAGAAGAAGGAGAAGAAGTTCCTACCAGCTTGGAGCCACAAAGAAGAGTCAGACAGAGAGAGGGACCCTGCTAGGCTCCTCCCATCCACACACCAAAACAAACAAAAGACTGTCGACAAGCCCAATTATTTAGCTACTACAACATTTTTGTTTTTCCCGTTTCTACGCCTTATTTTTCTTTTACAAAAATAAATACAAACTTTATAAACTACTTATTTTAATTGTGTGTGTGTGTATATATAGTACAGCCTATTTATATTGAAAAAGTACGGCTTGACTCAATTGACTTTTTCAGCCATAAGAGTGATCTGCCCTTATGACAGCATTAAAGCAGTTGTACCCCCCATCAGTTCAATATAATTAGGTATTCCAGAGTAACTATTACTTAGATACATAAATACATGTTGGGTTCTATAACCCCCATAACAGTCCTAGTGTACTCTTGTGTGTGTGTGTGTGTGTGTGTGTGTGTGTGTGTGTGTGTGTGTGTGTGTGTGTGTGTGTGCTTGCACGAGCACTTGTATATTTTCTGAACTGCTGCACTGGCAACCAATAGGCCAATAATTTTTTACGCGGAATAAGCTAAATGATTAGTTAACTAAGCACCTAATAGGCAATATACAAATACATTTATTAAAAGCTGTAATTAAAAGTTCATTCCTGCTAGTATCCAGAATATTTAAGACAAAAATTGAAATCTTGAGGAAGCTTACCTCAGTACTAAACAAAAATATTTCTCCCCTTAGTTCTTTTACTTCGAGGCTGTATTTCGCAAGGCCCGCAACATGTCTACTTGGGGAGACACTTTGAGGGCTCTCTTCTATGGGCCAGCCTGGGTCCCTGGGGCCCTCGTCTTGGGGACTCTAGCACTTCCCCAGACATCAAGGCCCCTAGAATCAAGTATGACCCGCAGCTGCCACTCTGGCAGGAGATCTATGTGTTCGTCCACTTCCTCCTCACCCTCCTCCTGCAGCAGATATGGATAACAAAACTTCAGGTAAATATGCTGTGTGACTCATATGGGTAAAACGATATTTTTTATAATAATAATAATAATAATAATAATAATAATAATAATAATAATAATAATAATAATAATAATAAAAATAATAATATTAATAATAAAAGAGGGATTTGGGATGCTGTTCAGAGGACGAAACTGTCGTATCTGGCGCCTCTGTCAAAACAGTGATAGTGAATGATGGTGAAAGTGTTTCTTTTTCGGGTCACCCTGCCTCGGTGGGAGTCGGCCAGTGTGTTAAAAACAATTATAATAATGAATCAGAATAATAATAATATTATTATTTTATAATACCAATAATTCCATTGATAGGTATAATAAGATCATTTTTATTTGAAAATCCATTAAAAGAATTTAGTTATTTTTTATTCGTAATCTAATTTCTAAACTGTATGCAAGCAGTCTTTCTCATGGTTGATGGTGGTAATGACCATGATCTTCATCTTCGTGTCAACGGGGATCGTTGGAGCCATGTATGATGGATGGTGGTGGGCGCCCCTGGTAGAGGCGGCCCGCTGTGCCAGCTACCTCGTCTGGGCTTACTCCACACCCGTCTCAAGCATCGCAGCCCTGGATGCTGCTCTCATCTCTTACTTCTTCATCTCTACGCTGATCTGGACATCCCAGAGCATAGTCATTGTTAAGGTCATTCTCAAGATGTCTAAACTGGAGTGACGGGGATGATAGAGATTGTACTGAGGATGTATGTATATTGTAGGATAGATGAGAGAGAGCATGATGATTGCTCCTTTTTCTGGTATATATTGAGGGGCTGTACGGTGGAGAGAATGATAGTTGAGGCTCAGCCACAAAGCTGGCTGGAGGTGGTCTTGGGAGATCTATTTCAGAGGGTGAAGCCACTTTTGAAACCAGTGTTGAGGGACTTGCTTCAGACATATGGAAACTGTAGTGAACCACTTCTGTATTCCCTCAATTCTTGTAATAAAGTAATAAATCACTGTGTTCTCTAATATGTAGTGTGTATTCTTGTCACAGAATAATATCCACCGTAAATATATAAAGTTGGCAAATGAGATACTTATGCAACATTTGGGTATCTTTGTTCTGGAAACGTTTCGCCAGCCAGTGGCTTCTTCTGTCAGATGTAGAGAAAATGAGAAGTTTCAGGTAATCAGTCCCTCACCCTGGTGTCGATGTGTTCAGGCCGTATAGATTGATGGGTTGAACACATGATTGATGGACACGAGATTGACGGACTGAGCACATCGATTCCAGGCTGAGGGACTGATTACCTCAAACTTCTCGTTTTCTCTACCTCTGACTGAAGAAAACACTGGCTGGTGAAACGTTTCCGAAATACAAATACACAAATGTTGCCCATGTGTCTCATTTATCAACTTGTCGATTTTCCAGACCATTTATTCAAAATGAATATAAAACCGTCTGATTCTGTTGAATAGAGTAGCTCCATAGAGTATATTAAGAGTATTTATCATTATTTTATCTACGTGAAGTACCAACCTGCATGGATCACTGAGCGCGCTCATCATGAGAAGGTATCGCTGTTCATGCAGCCAGTCAGGCTAAGAGAAGAATCCAAAAGGTATCGAGTTCTGTTCATAACTGAGTCTTGGGTATTAAATGGCATATATGTATTACTCAAATTCCACCTAATTTTATCTCGCCCGGGTTTCGAACCAAAAGCCCTTTGTGAGCAGTACTGTCCCACCACTGGGCTATACGACACCACGTCAACAGTTACTGGAAAAGGTGGGGGGGAAGAAGAAAAGAAAATGGGAAAGGCTGAGAGGAAGGGAGGGGTGTAGTGATAGTTATTATCATTTTAGAGTTGAAATGCTATGCCCAGAGGTATAGGAGGAGGCATAACTTACAGAGGATTGGTGTTGATAGAACAAGGAGTAGCGCCCTTCTGGGAAAAGGAGGGGGAGAGAAGGGGGTAGGGGTGAAGACTGGGCCAAGTGTGGGAGGCACTGAGCACTAGAGGGCCAAAAGCTCGCCACGAAGGTAGTCTTAAAGCAGACGTAAGTGGGGGTGCACGTCTGAGGTGGCAACACTACCTGAAGCCTCTGTTTGGTCTACCAGGTGAGACAGATGCATCTCAGTGGCGTACTGTCGAGATAAAATAAAAACAAATGCGGAAATTTGATCAAGGTTTCAAAGCACTTGATACTTGAGAACACTGAATAACAAAGAGAAGTAAGTTTGATGTTATTCCTTGATTTGCAAAATCAGGAGACCAGGTTTTGAAAAGAGTGACTACAATCAAAATCAAAGTGTAGAACAAGCTTTTATTGGGACAATGTTTCGTTGTGTAGATCTTTGTCATATCATGAACTGATACAGCTCTACACAGTGCTAAACGTTGTCACAATCGAAGTCTGTTCTGAAAAATGTGTCTTGTTAGGTGAGCCAGAATGTTTACCAAGAAGGGTTCTTAATCTAAGATACAAGGCTGCTCTCCTCTTTGGATTAGGCATAATTATTTCCCTTGCCTAGGGTGCTATATATGTCCCCAGTGGTTTAGGCCCTTCACCTTGAAATATAATAATAATAATATTAATAATAATAATAATAATAATAATAATAATAATAATAATAATAATAATAATAATAATTACAAAGACATCCTTAGGGATATCAAACCTATGGTTATTAACCGAACATAACCTACTATAACTAAGAGAATTATAAGCCAACATGATTAAATAGTATGGACTATTTTGCTTGAGGACTTACCCAGAAATGCGACCCACAGCATCCCTACAAGTTTTGATTTTATACATACTGGTCAGAAATCAACATCAGTGATGGGTAGTAAGGCTTCCAGCTTATTGGATACTTCATTATATTTCAAGTCTATCGACCACAAAAAGGTCATTAAATTTTATTGTCACCTGTGCGCCACCAGTTAAAGATACCGTAATCTCCCAAAGGAGGGAATTGCTTTCAGCATATGTACACTGAAAGATGTCTATGTCCGTGTTACTCGCTACACTAACTGTCCCTCTGTTTTGTACTACCGTCAATGTGCTACAGGATTAGCTCAGTTACTTGGAGGAGAACGCAACCATAGCAGAGAGTGGCACATCTGCTGTGGGTGTGGCTCTGGGAAGCAAGTTTAGCCTTGTGAGTCATAGTCTTCTGTCACTTCAAGCTGCACATTACTCAAGAGATATTGTACAAGACTTAGCTTGTTGCTGACCCGTTTCTGTTACTTGCTGATAGAGGGATAGATTTATAATATGCTTACCTGTTTAACACCGGCCTAACCCTGCCATCTTGTGTTGCGCAGCCTTGCATTCTTGACTGCATATTCCCATATTTAAGGTGGGCGAGGTGGGGCGGAGCCCAAGTTTATGTTGAGTGTATGTTGTCCGCAAGGACTTTTTTTGACCCTTACAAATTCACCAATGGGCCATGATTTTATTTAAAAATTAAACTATGTTCTGAGGTTTTGGTTTGGGTTTCAAATTTTTAGCAGAAGTTTTTGGGCTGAGTTTTTAAAAAATAAAACCCCACACAAAAATTTTCCCTATTAAAAATATAAAATATTATATATATAAATAAATATATATAAATATTTATATATATATATATAATATATTATAAAATATATATATATATAATTTATATATTAAAAATATATAAAATTATAATATATATAAAAATATTTAAAATATATAAAATATATATATATATTAAATGCAAACAATCGCAGCGGGCGATCTTAATTATATCTATAAAATAGTACAAAAAAACAAGTGTGGTGTATGTATTTTATAAACTAGCTCACTAAACTTTGCTCCAAAATATAACCTAAAAACCCCACAAACATTAAACCTTTGCGGGGCGATACTAGGATCTGCTGAGGTGTCATCTGCTGAGGGGCCGGTTAACCTCCAAAAGTTTTAAAAAAAGGGTTTCCCCTGGGAACGGTAAACAAAAGAGTTCAATGAGGAAAAATTTCCATACTCCGTTATGGAAAACTGGAGGGATAAAAACTGAACAGAGTATACTACTGACCCCCGCCAACAAGGCGGAAAAAAAAATGTGGGGGCCCTGGGAGTAGTAATGTCGGGGATCTCCTTTCAAGGACCCCAAAACAGTCCCACGATCGCCGTGCAAAAAAAAATGATGGGATGGATAATGAGAACTTTAAAAAACGAGAGATCCAAAGCCCATGATGATCCTTTTCAAATCATTATGCCTCTAGGCTGGAAACGCTGTACTTTAAACTCCCCAGACAAAGCGGTAAAATCGGATCTAGAGAGTGTACAGAGACCTTTACTGCACGTATAATTTCTGTCAAGCCCCTTTAACTACTGGGAACGCTTGGAAGCACTTGACTTGTACTCGTTGGACGCGGGAGGAGAGATATTCATAATCTACACTTGGAAAATCTTGGAAGGAATGGTCCCAAATCTGCACACAGAAACATTCCCTACGAAAGTAAAAACTGGGCAGGCGATGAAAAAATCCCGCCAAATAAAAGTGGGGCGCCAGGGACACTAAAAAAAAACACCAAAAGGTTTTCCGGGCCCAAAAAACTTTTCAACAGCCTCCAACAAGCATTAGGGAATTCCCAATAAACCCCGGGCTGCCTTCAAGAGAGAGTGGACAAACTAAAGTCAGTGCCGGATCAGCCGGGCTGTGGCTGTACTTTGGACTGCGTGGGGCCCAGCAGTAACAGCCTAGTTGATCGGGCCCTGTCCATCGGGAGGCCGGTCATGGCCCAGGCCGCGGGGGCGTTGTCCCCGGAATAACCTCCAGGTAACCTCCAGGTAACCCCGGTAACATAATGATTATATTATACTCATGGGCCCTTGTGAACTTTTAAGGGGCATAAAGTCCTTGTGGACAACATACACTCAAAATAACTTGGCTCCCCCCCCCTCACTAAGATTTCCACCCCCTGTGGCTTGTCCTCATATTATATATATATTTATATTTTATATATTAATATTTTATATATATATTATTATATATATATTTAAAATAAATATATATATATATAATATATTATAATATAATATAATTTTTAATTATAATATATTATTTATATATATATATATATATAATATATATATATTATTAATATATTTATATATATTATTATTATTATTATTATTTTTTTTATTATTTTTTTAACACCTGGCCGATTCCCACCCAAAGGGAGGGGGGCCCCCAAAAGGGAAAACGTTCTCTGTTTTCCAGGGTGAAATGTCTTCAGTGGGGTAAGGTAAGGGTACTACTGCCCGCTAATGAAGGTAAGCGATTTTTGTGGGTTGGGGACTCTCAGGTAAGATATGTTGACCGTGCTTTTGTAATAGGAATAGAAGATGAGAGATAGAGTGTGCTTCCCTGGAGCTGGTGTTGGGGACATTGTCAGCAGGCTGGATAATATCATGTCGTAATGGGAACAAGCCCATTATCTGTCTCAGTGTGGTGGAAATGATATTGGGAAGGGTAGGAGAAAAGAGCTGCTAGATAAGTACAGGTCGGCTATAGATTTCATTAAGTCTAAGGGAGGGATCCCAATCAAAAGTAGCATCTTGCCTAGAAGGGAGTAGGAAATGAATGGTTGTCTAGGGCAATTGGTGTAAATTGCTGGCTAGACAGATACTGCAAGGAACTTGAAAATCCCATTCATTGACAACTGGAACAACTTTTATGGCAAACATGATATGTATGCAAGGGATGGGGTTCATCTCTCTGGGGCAGGGGTGGTAGCACTTGCAGACTCGATTGCGAAGGCCATTGGTGAAATGCCTATGATTTTAAATGATGGAAGATAGAGGTATGGGTGTGTGTGGGAAACAAGCAGGTTGCAACACTAGGGTTTGGAAAAAGTAAATGTATAAAAGGCCATTCAGCATGAAGTTATAATAAAGACAATAGAACAGGTCAGCAAACAAAGGGGGACAGCAGAGGCAGCAAGGGACTAGCTCCCCTTAAGGTTTACTATACTAATAGCAGGAGTGTTAGAAATAAAATAGATGAGCTAAGATTAATTGCAAGTGCAGGAAACATAGATATTATTGCTATAACCGAGACCTGGCTCAATCTGAAAGATTTGAGAGATGCCCTCTGAATGTCACATACAAGGCTATAAATTATTCCACACTTTACAGGGGGCAACAGGAAAGGTGGTGGAGTAGCGATGTATGTCAGAGACAATTTAAATTGTTGTGTTTTGACAAGATATTAAATTAGAAAACGTCAGCCATGAAACTGTTTGGTTACAGCTTCTCGAGGGCCCCAGAAAAAAATAATTTTAGGTGTGATTTACAGGGCCCAAATCTTGATAGGAGTGCAGTAAAAATTCTATGGGACGAAATTCGTAAGGCATTACATACGAAAATGTGCTAATGGGAGATTTCAATTATAGCAGATTGACTGGAGCCCAAATTTTACAGGAAATTTAGAGTCGGGTGACTTTCTTGATACGATCCAGGATTGTTTTTTAAAACAGTTTGTGACAGAGCCAACTAGGGGAAATAACCTCCTTGACTTGGTTCTTGGCCAGTAGGAAACACTAATTAATAATCTTGAGGTTAATGATGAGCTTGGGGAGAGTGATCACAAATCACTCAGTTTTAACATATCATGGAATTTCCCCCAATAAGGCAATCAAGTCTCCGTCCCTGACTTTCGCTTGGTTTGATTTCATAGGACTGAAAAATTACTTAGGTGGGCTGAACTGGAATGACCTGACTAGGGGTCAGGTAGGTGGTGATGGTTGCCGATATGATGCTTTCCAGGGCATAGTTCTAGCTGCTCAGTCAAATTATGTTCCAAATAGGGAAATCAGATCAAACAAAAATGATCCTAAATGGATTAACAATAGATTAAAATATCTGATTGGGGCAAAAGAGAGGCATATATAGGCAAATCAAAAGAGGAGAGGGGGAAATTTAAAAAATCGATATATTCAGTTTAAAAAGAGAAATAAAAAAGGGAATTAGAAAACAAATAGAGATTATGAGGTTAAAGTTGCAAGAGAATCGAAGACTAAAACCCCAAAAAGGGTTCTTTCAGGTATACAGAAGTTTAAAATCAGGGACAAGATAGGCCCACTCAAA